ATATTTAAAGGTTAAAACCAGTTTTGGAAACGCCTCCCTCTCAAAAAATGAAATGGAAGCTCTAATTACCAATCATGTGAAAGAATATGTTTTGACTAATACGTGATCATACAAATTTTGCCGAGAAACCGCCTACTATTTGATATATTTGGTAAATTGTTATATCTATTTTGACCTGATAGATAATTATAACGCACGTGTCGCGCACGTGTGTAGTAGTCCCATATACATATTTCTGTGTACGGTGCTTGTAACTTTACCAATACTGGGCCAGATTTCTTATAATTTTGATGATTCAAGAACCTTGCAGTACACACCAATACTTATATGCTAGATGATCAACCTTTTCTCATCGATTCCACAACGTTTCTTTCATAATGCGATCGCATGACCATAACTAGTCTTTATCGTGAGCACTTATTATACAACATACAACACAACATGAAATAATATAATTTGAATACATATAAAACCTAAAACATATTAGAGAAGCATAATCCCCCCTCCCCCATCCCAAGCACGTTCCATTACAGATCAGAGCAAAACTGTTTTTTTTTTTTTTTTTTAATTTAGATTTTTGCAAAAGGTTTTTAAGCTGTTGGATAGCTTAATAGTTAACGGTATGTCATTGTACTCACGTGAGCGAAGTAATCAAAGTAGGTGGCTATAGCAAATATTATATCAAACAAATTTATATAACCTACCTAGAATTCAATAAAATGCCAAATTACTAGATTTTATTCAAATCTGTTGCTAATTATAAACTTTTGTTAAACAATCGTTGTCGTAATGAGTTTACTTGTAAGATTTTAGTATTGCTTAATATTTACATATTCATGACAATCATAAAACCATGTAGGTTATTAAGAGTTTGATTAGTCATTAACACAAGTTTAGACAACACAAAATGAGCATGTCTTTTGAGAACACAATGGGGTCATAGAATTATAATAAATACTGGAATAAATTTGTTGATTCATTTGTCATTATAAGAGAAAATCTTCTTCCTTTGGTTTAGGAATAAAAGCCATTTCACAAAAATATCAAACAGTTTAATGAAGTGTACAAAATATACATTATGTGAACTAAATATTAAAAAGCATACAGACAAATACAAACAATATATGGTAAATAAATAGGTCTATCACGTTCAAAGATGAAAGGATACATAAACAATACCAGGATACGACATTATGTATATATACATCAAAATACAGGACATAATACTAATTGAAGGTATTGCTTTTTCAAAGTAGTAGTAAAGCACCCTCATCAGTTTGGTAAAGCATTACACTTTATAACAGTCATTAATGATAACTAAATATATTTTTGCAAACCTATTATTTCTTGTGAATGTATTAAGATATGTTAAAGGCCGTCTGTAATAGTTTGTCTATGAGGTATTAGACCACCCAGGAAGTTCACTAACAGGTGGCTATCTCACCAACTCAGCTCTCAATTAACTTAAGAAAAAAAGAATCATGGGGAACCAATGGTCACTGATTAGGCATTATTTTCTATATACCGTGTGAGTCAAAAAAAAGTTTACACCTAGAAAATTGCTAATTATTTTTAAAATCATCTATGAACAGTAAATTATTATATATCTTGTGAAAGAGTGTTTTATCCCAAATCATTTGGTATCATTTTTGTGTGGTATGTGTTCACGCTTGGGTGAACAGGAGGCATTGTTTGCGAGAGTGCAAAAATCGACTTGGGCCATATTGATGCCTACAGTGTGTATTATGTTGGGATTAGCGGAGTAAGAGAATGAATTGAATGTATCAATGCATTGCGTATGCTTTTTGCAAAGGGCAAAGTCACACACACCCACACACACGCGCACAAATGTTCGTTGATATTTGATATTCGATATGTTATATGTGTGGCATCATTACTTTTGTTAGAGATGTTATTTGGATCTGCAAAGACCGAATTAATACCCAAATTCCAATTGTTTTATTCAAACATCACATAGGCAACTTTGGCGCAAGTCGATTTTTGCACTCTCGCAAACAATGCCTCCTGTTCATCCAATCGTGAACAAATACCACACAAAAATGGTACCAAATAATTAGGGATAAAACACTCTTTCAGAAGATGTATAATAATTTACTGTGCATAGATGATTTTTAAAATAATTAGCAATTTTCTAGGTGTAAACTTTTTTTTGACTCGCACTGTAGAGGGAGCAAGTAGCTACAAGTAGTACAGTGGGCCTTTAAATGTTATTATTGAAGTGACTTAAATCGGTTGAACGCTAAAGAGAATTCAAGATCCATAATTTTGAGATAAAAATTTAGCTGATATTTCCCTTTAAGCCACCCCCTGCCTTTACAGTTGCCAGGGCGCCCAAATGAAATTACAATTTCACCGTCCTTGTGAATCTATTTCCGCCTTCGGTCAGAAAAAGAGCATTTTGCGATCGTATTCCATTCGCATTAAGGAATATTGATCGAGGATTTATTCAGGGGTTATTGCTGAAATTTATTATTTATGCATAGCTCACTTATTTATGATCTTTTTAGAACCAAGTGATGATCTGATATAATACGTTGTGATATGCCATTCCGTTGATTGTTATGCTGTAATATCCACATTATGATCATGCAATGAAATTATGTTCCAAGACAGGTGGTCATTGATTACAAGTCAAGATAATGTTTACACCTATGTACAATAATCGATGAGGAATGCTATGGTATTTTCTTCCTCGGGGTGGATGAGATGGATGTAATTTCTTATTCATTTGGGCAAGAAATTCGTAAGGCTATGTTATTTAGTTGGAGACTGTACTCTCGTTTATGCTTTAGTGCAATTAAACACATTCGGATATTTAACGCATTATAATTCATTTTCAAAGCAAAACTATAACTAGAGAAATAAAAAGACAGATAAAGGGAGAGAGAGAGGAAGGGAGAGATGATGACGCGGACACTTTCTTCCCTACGCCAATATTCCTCAAGACCACGTCTTTCAATTTCCATCTCTTCCATGCCGTTGATGTTATTTAATAACTCGATAAGGAACTGACCGACGTGTTTCATCAACAGCTCCATTATAGAATGAGGGCAGCCAACCAGCCAGCCAACCAGCCAACCAGCCAACCAGCCAGTCGAAAAGCTGTGCTAATTTGACATTCTCTTACTAGAAAAAAAATCATGACGAGTGAGAGAGAGAGAGAGAGAGAGAGAGAGAAAGGGATGGAGAGAGAGAGACAGACAGACAGATAGAGAGAGAGGAGAGAGAGAGAGAGAGAGAGAGAGAGAAAGGGATGGAGAGAGAGAGAGACAGACAGATAGAGAGAGAGGAGAGAGAGAGAGAGAGAGAAAAGGAGGGAGACAGAGACAGACAGACAGATAGAGAGAGAGGAGAGAGAGAGAGAGAAAGGGAGGGAGAGAGAGACAGACAGACAGATAGAGAGAGAGGAGAGAGAGAGAGAACGAGAGGGGGAGAGGGACAGACAGATAGAGAGAGAGAGAGAGGAGAGAGAGAGAGAACGAGAGGGAGAGAGGGACAGACAGATAGAGAGAGAGAGAGAGAGAGAGGAGAGAGAGAGAGAGAGAGAGAGAGAGAGAAGGGAAGGGGGTCTTTTTGTCTGTCCTTAAGAGGAACTTCAGCATGGATGGGAATGATGAGATAGGTTGGAGGTAGTGCCATGATCTGGGATTAGCTGCATGATTATCGTAAGCATGTTAAGAACGATAGATAGATAGATAGACAGAGAGAGAGAGAGAGAGGGGGGAGAGAGACAGAGAGAGAGATGGATCTTCCTGTTTGTGTGTCTGACCTCAGAAGGAACGAAAGAGAGAAGGAATTTCGGCATGGGATAAGTGGGTTGTAGTGCATGGCATGGGATTAGCTGTATAATTAGTTAGATAAAGAAAGGGAGAGAGTGGTAGAGAGAGATAGAGAGAGAAGAAAAGAAATAAGGAAATAAATAGAGAGAGAGAGGGAGAGGGAGAGAGAGAGGAAGAAAAAAAGAGAGAAATACAAAGAGAAAGAGAGAGGGAAAGAAAGATAGACAGAGATAAAGAGATAAAGAGAGAGAGAGAGAGAGGGAGAGAAGGGGAGGGGATGAGGGATGAGTAAATTCCAAAATGGCAACACATTTATCTCAGCAGTTTGTGAGCAGATATGGCGTTTCTTACTGAAGTGAGAGATAGAGAGGGAGTTTAAAGTGACATCGTTTAGAAAGTAAAATCAAAACAAAATCCAGTTACTTCCACTTACCTTACAATCAGTAAGAAGATCGCATTTTTATTAAATAAAAACAAATCACAATATCAAAACAGAGAATACAAAGTTAAAACACTTGTATCAGGAAGTCGAAGAAGCGAGAAATGAAAAACAGGAGAAAATGATGGTAATTAAAAAAAAAATGATCACCACGGTAATGACACCGACAAATTACAAAACAAAGTTAGTTAATTCTGAAATGAACTTGCCAATACAAAGTGAAGTCCTGAATAAAGGGAGCCTCGGGCAAATCACAGATATGAGATTAAAATAGATATTGGCGCCAAAACTGAAGGGGATAAAAACTCAAGAGACTCACATTGATGTGATTTTGATTACCCGCTGTAAAATCTGTTAAATGTCTTAATTTTTTAACAAAATAAACGTTATCTATATCTTTAGACTGACTTTATGCATCTCAATATATAAAATGAAAACTGGTAGCATGTATAGGTACTATTGTTTAATGAAACCCGTTTTAGAATGAATTTAACAATTCAACTGAAATCACATTAACAAAAGTATAATGTAGAGATGAAAATAATTATCTATCGAATTCGCGGTGTAATGGTCGATCATTTGTTCAACATCATTTAACTTTCAAGATATAAAAGAAAAAGCCAAGTCTCATTCCGTTACTATCTAACCCTGATGTGAAGTCATTAGTTTGATCCCTCATTTGATTGAAAGAGGCGCCATTAGTTATCAAACAGGTCTTTTGGCTTTGCACATCGCACCCATTCGCACCTCATGCTAGAGAGAGTGTGTGCGTGTGTGTGGGTCTATTATGGTATAGAAAAGTGCGCGTGTGTATGTGCGAGAAAGTAATGTGTGTGTACGCATATACGTTACCGTTGTGGTCGGCGCATTACTTGGGCGTCTCCCTTCTCGAAAAAAGGGCATCGCATAGCATCGCATCACATTAGCGCTGTGTGGAATACAGCCCGCCAAGCTTGATCGCTCTGCGATGCACACTCGCATATCATGAGCTTTGGTGCATGTCCGTATAGTAGCGATACCGTACCTTCACTTACGGCACCTAGTTCTGTACGCTTCGCTTGGCATCGGTGCGCCAATTCCAGCGAATTAAAGGGTCTCTCTTTCCAGTTTCATTACCCGCGTACGGAGAGACTGTGGCGGGGACAGGGTAATCATTGCCAAGCGTTTTAGACACACTCGCCCCTCTCAGCCCGCCAACTTCACGTCGTGTTTTCCAGGCTTCTTATTTCCATCTCGTTAAGGAAAGCACTTCGGATTATCAACATCTGGATGACACGGTGGTTCGATTCTACGAGGGAGAAAATCCTTTTGGGACAGTTTATGTGAGGAATTATTCCAAGGATTTCATTATCTTAAAGGTAAGTTGCTAAAGTCTTAACCATGTTACATACCCGTTACATTTACTTTCTTTCACTTGGAAGGCTTCAGCTACCAAAGGAAAATGCCATATGTCAACACGTCCGGTTTTTTCTTTAGGACTAGCAAAGATATTACATAATCTACAAAGTTCAAGATAAACCAAAATAGGTTACTATGCTGATAATCGGCCATATTATAGATGTATTGTATTGAAAAGCGATTGACGATGCTTTAGTAGAATTATTCCTTGATGTGACTTTTTAATGTATAAACAATGATAAAATTGACGTAGCCTGGTCATATTGAAAAGTGCATGATCAGAACGAACTTTAGATTCCTTTTATAGAGAACCATCTCTCAGAATCCTTAAACTGATGACTGATGGTAAATAGGATGAATAATGATTTAAAGGCAGTGAGTTAGTGTGAGCCCTGCCCCATGGGGGGGGGGGGGGTAAATGCTGTCAAAGGGGGGGGGGGCTGGACCTTCTGATGAAAAGCAAGAGAACAAGCCTCCTTCGAGTGAGGTAAAGGAGTGGAAGGGGACATCAAGTTCTTTTCACACTGCCTTCTCATTCTTTCTTCTGTAATTATCTCACTCTCTTCTCTCTCTCTGTCTCTGTCTCTATCTGTCTCTCTCTCTGTCCCTCTGTCTCTGTCTCTCTTTCTCTTTTCGGCCTCAGGTGCCTCCTGTATATACGCCATTGCGAGTAAGTAAATCAAAAAAGAAACTCGAAAGAAAGACGATATGGTGATACATTATTTTGCTCTAGACATGTTTAGCAACAAAATTGATGAAGGAATAATGATGTGCCTTAATGTAATAAAATCAAACTGAATAGTTTTTAACTCAATGTCCGCACTTTCGGGACGTCATCCCTCCCCCAAACAACCCCTTTCCCACCCCCCCCCCCCTCCCCTCCCAGTACAATTTCAGGAGTGCTGGTATGAGGTGCAATCAGGCAATCATTAAATCCTTATTTAAGCACAATAATAAATTTTATTATTGTGCTTAAATGTATTTCATTATATTTTTCCCATGAAGCCATTACGCCTCCGAAGAAGAAAAAATAAATTGGTAGAGGAGACGAATGAATGGAAATGAACAAAACATATTGGAAAACTAAACAAAGAAATCAATGAATAAACGAGTATATGAAAACAGTTTTATGAATAAATAAATAATTAGATAAATGAAATAAAAGATATATAAATAAATAAATGTTAAGAAGCGATAGACCGTATGTTTTACCTCTTTATATGAAACGAAAAGATATTTATTTTATATTTTCTGCCATTGAAAAGATATGAGGGTTTAAAGATAAAGTTCAGCTCTGGTCATACGATTGCATTGTGGAAGAAACAGTGTGGAATGGATCAGAAAAGGTTGATCATGTAGCATATAAGTATTGGTATGTACTGCAAGGTTCTGGAGTCATCGAAATGATAAGAATTGTAAGCTGCTACTTATCATATCTTGAATATGAAGGCATTTGAACAGCCATGCTTTTTAGGGAAGATTTTGTCCCTGATGTTCTTCTACACTTGCATAATAAAAATGAAAACGCTCACAAATTATTTTTCACCTCTCCCCAGAATTCAACCTTCTCTTTAAAAAGAAAATATTTCATAAGGGTATATACGTCAATATAACTTATACGATGAAATGAAAATGTATATAAGTATTTACAACTAAGTGTTATCAAGTATCACATCGCATTTATAGGGAGGAAATGCTAATGGAACCAAAAGGACTGGTGACTATTTTGGGACAGGAGATTGAGAGGAAAAGGCAATTCCAGCTACAGGAACCTACAGAGTGCGATAATATATTCAATTTGTTATACGAACGGAAATTACTACTACCATCACTCTCTCTCTGTCTGTGTGTGCTCACTCTCTCTTCTACTCGCCCTCTCGTCGTCTTTCTCTCTCTCTCTCTCTCTCTCTCTCTCTCTCTCTCTCTCTATCTGACGCTGTCTCTGTCTCTCTCCTATACTTGTATGAACGTCTACCCTTTCCACTCTTTCTACATCCCTCCCCGTCTCTCTCCCTGGCTTTCTCTGTATATATGTCTGTCTCTGTCTCTCTTTCTCTACCTGACTGTTTGTCTATCAATCTGCCATTGTGTCTCTATTTCTTAAACACTATATTTATTAAACTATCCCTCTCGGTCTCACTCAATTTCTTGTTCCTGTCCTAGATGCCTATATTCCTCTTTCCATCTCCCTCGCTCTCTCCTCCTCTCTCCCCCTCTCTCTCTCTCTCTCTCTCTCTCTCTCCCCCTCTCTCTCTCTCTCTCTCTCTCTCTCTCCCCTCTCTCTCTCTTTCTTTCTTTCTCTTTACCCTTTCTATCTCCTTTCTCTATTTCCCCTCTCTATTCCTTTCCGATCAGCGTCCACTCCCGTGCGAACCACAGTTCCACCCGTAAATTATTGATCGGTAAGAGGAGAGAAAAAATTGTGGTTGACATTTTGCAACATCCTTGGAACCTCTCGTTCTCTCTATACTCCCCCTCTCTTTCTCTCTCTCTCTCTCTCTCTCTCGCACACACTCTCTCCATTTCTCTCTCTCTCCCTCTCTCACTCTGTCACTCTCTCTCTCTCTCTCTCTCTCTCTCTCTCTCTATCTCTCTCTGATTATGTTTCATTGGCATTTTCGGTTGAGGGATGTCTTCTTTGCCCTGTAGCCATGCACTGTATAATTATATCGATGGGTCTATTTGCTTGTCGGCATCCTCCAAGTTTGATCTTGAGATGAAGGAATAAAGCCCATGCTGAACATTAATTAATCAAGTTTAAAATAAGTCATGTAATTGTCAACTTAACAGTCAATTTCATTAAATCATATCGAGAGAGCCAAACGCTGCGAAATAAGTCTGAAACGCACGATTGCAAAGCCTGTTATGGTCTCAACTCTCGGGCAATTCAAATATCCTATGTACCCCCTGTATTTCCTCTAGAAACCGAAATCGAATAACGTAATTATGTATTTGGTAAGGCTTATGAAATTGCACAAACTGGTTTCGAGAAAGACTTTAGATCGTATTCAAAGTACCCTGGGAAAGCAACGTTTTAATATAGTATTCATTTCATCAATCAGACGTCTCAAAATTAAAGTTAAAGTTGTGCACAATTCATGTTTCATAAACAAAATACTTTATCAAGGGCTTTACATCTGTTTTAAAATTTATTTGAGTAATTTGTTCTACGTTAATCTAACTCTGTATTTACTTGGTTTTTGTTGGGTTTTTTTCTTTAAGGGCCATCCTCGAAAGCTTTTTGCTTTTCTAGTGTTGGTTATACAAAATATTTTAAATCTTGAAGGAATAACAGTAGATAAATTTGTCGACAGTTGCATTTCAAGCCCGCATCGTAGTAATGTAACAACAAGGATCTATTATAAATCATGTTTAACAACATTTAAACTATATCCACGTTGAAATAGCATATGAACAGTATGTCAAAAACTGTCGGACAAGGGGCTTAACTTGATAATGAATGTAGCTAATCAATTCAAGTACATTTTGTCCGTCAAAAGGCTCTCGTAAATCCAACAAAGCTGTTGTCTTTCTGTCGCGTGCTCAATGGATTAGGCTCGTTTCTGGTTAAATCGCTCTAATTAATTCCTATTCTACAGTGCTATGTTAATAAAAACATGGATACGTGTTATACATAAGCACCCTTTAATTGACTGTGGAGCCCTTAAAGGCCAGTAGGATCTTAATTAATTTTGCCTACCGAGTCAACACAGTCGAGGGCTGTATAAGAAGCAACAATAAATAGTCATGAGGAAGATACACGCAAAGTGTTATACATGTACAGGAATATATATCTGAATCATCATTCAATAGTGATGAAATCGACCAACTTACATCATGCCATCCTAGAAAATTAAGAGGCAATAACAATTTCTGTAAAATGATTTAGTTTTGAGGGGGGAATGGCATCAGGGCATCATTTGCGCTGTATAAGAACAATTTTGAAGCCTGCACAAAATGATATTGGCCGAAAACTCTTTTTGGAATTATCGTAATATCAGAAATAAATGTAGTTTTTTATGATTGTGATTATGAAGTGATTTTTCTCAAAATAGTCCAAAATGACAATTTAGTGACATTGAGCTTTTAAAGAACTCTAAAGTTATCATTAAATTATCAACCAAAAATGTTCATTGTTTATTCTAAGAATCGGTATTTATAGGCTTGAAATAATTGTTTAAAAAAGTAAAAACATTAAATCTTGAAAAACTTAATTCTTAAAGATTAATACTTGCTAACCATTCGAGAATGAATCATCAGATGAAGAAAAATACTCCCTCATTAGCAACGCCTTCATGTCGTTACCATGGAAACGAAGCCTCGGAATAGCCATTATTTCACGAGCACACACTTAAGTAATTTGTGAATTAAACACAGACCCCTTTCCGTTGTCAAATATTACCGAGTCACAGACTTCAACCTCTTAGAGATTGTTTGCACATTTTATGACGGTTATTTGATTTCACCGAGTTAATTAGGTATCGGTCCATAAAATATACTCAAGCGCAGGTTAGGTTACGGTGGAAAACACTCCGTTCCTCAGATAGAACGTTAAGTGGAGGCCCCGTGTAGAGGAGAGTCTTGTCTTCACGTTAAGAACCCACACACTGCACGACTCGTAAAGGTGTAGGAGGACACATTTGGGTAGTGGTTTACCTGCATCTACACCTACATGACTGTATACCTCAAAACAAAAGCTGGGGAAAAGAAATTATTATTGCCATCCATTATACTCATGCCAACCTGCGATTAAACACACTGAATTGAAGAACAAATCACTCTCGCTCTCCACGCTTGTTTCCAGACACAAGATGCTGCAGAAGTCATTAACCGAGTCGTCTTGAACTCTTTATCCTCCCCAGTTCCCCCACACGATAAGAAAAAGACTTCCCTGAAGAGGATTTTGTTTATGCGATGCTAGGAGAGGTAAACAACCTGCGATAAAGGTTAGCCGGCCTCT